GCTTTTAAATTTTATAAAATTGACATGTATTTCTTCATAGTATATTTTAAAAATTAATAAATTAATATAATAAAAAATTTATTTGTAACAATTTTTCAATCTTACTTATGAAACTTAAAATAATAATCTTAAATTGTTTCCTTCTTGTTAAAAAAATGAAATTTTGATTTTTTAAATATTTTATAAATCGACTAATGGTATTATTCATTAGTAAACTAAGCTACAATTGAACCGAAATTTAATTCAATTGATTTATATTGATATTTAAAAAAAAAATTTAACTCAATACCTATAATTTTTTTGCCTATTCTTAAATTGCATCTTTTATTAAAAAAAAAAAAAGGAGTTATTAATTAAGTTCATATTTGACATATGATGTAATAATTTTAGTCTTTTAATATTTCTTTGTTTCAATTTTGTCAAAATTGAATTGCTAAAATTACTTATATTTTCTTAGTCATTGATTTTCTCTATCTAATTTTCTCCATTCAACTTATTTTTGTCAAAGTTACAGATCAACTATGCAAAGAAAAATCAATTTCTAAACTCAAATTCTTAATTACTTATTTTTTCTCCATTCAACTTCTTATTTTTCTTACTTTTCTTCTCCCATTTTTTCAAATTAAGAAATAAAAAGTCAGAAAACCCACTTCAAATATTCTAAACTCCATAGAATATTAACTATAATGGCCATGACTCCACCAAATTAGTAGCTAGTTCATTTAATGTACCCATCAACTTTTTCTTAAACTAAGGATTTTGAGATCATTATAAAAAAAATTTAAAAAAATCATAAAAAAAGAAAAAAAATTTCGATATTTTTCTAAACTTTCGATTCCTTCTTATTTTTTTCTTAATTCAACTCCGAATCACTAAATTATATCTATAATGGATATAAGAATTTTTGTGAAAGTTTTTCCATCACAGTTGTTCTAAAATCTAATAGTAGGATTGGACCAACATAATACCATCTTAAGTATACTTTATTTTTTAATAATTTTTTTATTATGTTATTAATAATAATATGATTTTTTTTTGGGATGAATATAAAGTCAAAATATCTTCCAATAGATTTTTTTTTTAATCTAAATCCTTCACTATTTGTCAATAACATATGATATTAAAACTTAATTTCACTCTCCCAACATCATAGGAGAAGAAAAGTGCCTATTGTTGTTATAATTGAAAAGAAGAACATAGCAAACTCACCCAATTAAAATACCATTTGTTAAGCTCTGTTTGGCTAAGAGAAAAAGAACAGAAACCCTTTTCAAATGACAGCTCAAAAGATACGAAAAACGCTTGATAAAAAAAAATCCTGCCAAAGTTCGAAAAGGAAACTTCGTTTTCTTTGCCATTAGGAATTATTCAAAGTGACTTGAATTCAAAAGCAGCCCTTTTGATTCTTTACACCTTGAGAGAATAAAAATTACAAAATAAGGTAAAGCACCAAGAATATTTAGGGAAAGAACTATTTATTAAAAGAAATTGAAAACTTGATAATTGCTAAATATCCATACCCAAAATCGATTAAAATTTAACTACCTATAAACCTGATTAAAAATTAATACATAATATCTGATCTCGATTATTAATACTCACAAAAAATTCAAATGTGATGCCCTAATTTTTTTTTCAAAAAATGATTTTTCTAAATATTATTTCTTAAATTATTATAGAATAATAAATAAAATAACACAATAATGTAAAATAAATTTTGAAAAATATTTATTTATTTTAAAATAAATAATTAAATTAACTTTTTTTTGTACTTTAAAAATGAATTTAATTCCCATAACTCCAAAATAGAATCATTGTCCTTGTCGTGTTTTATCTATCCTCTTTCTATATGAAAAAACCAATTTAAAACGAATTAAGATCAAAAAAAGAGTTTCCACTTGCTTAATCATATTTTAAATTTTCATTTTTTAGTTAATATATATTTTTTGTTTTTGATGCAAATATAAATTTTCTTGACTGTTTGCCCTACCTTGTAATTGCCATGTAAAACTGTTTGCCTTGTAGTGATCACCTTGAAGAGAAGAAGAAACCAATTGATTGAGAAAAAAAAGTGGCAGGTGCCCAAGAATCTCCAAACTCTATGACAGCTGCAGCAGATGCTATAGCATTATGCTAAATTTGACCCATACGAACACATTGTTTTCATTTTCTCATTAATTCTACAAAGCTAGTAAGTTTTCCAAATTTAAGAAAACATATCCGATGTTTTGATTTATAGATAAAGAAATTTTTATATTTAACAAACAAAATTAAATTATTATTACATATTTAAAATATGAAACTTGTCGAATTTTGTTATTAAAATTTAAAAGTTTCATCGATTTAATTTAAGGATCGAATAATGAATTATAAGTAATAAAATTAAATTTTTTAAATTTTATATTTTAATAATATTATTCGAATTAATTTAATTAAAATTTAAATTATTTTTTGTTATTTTATCTAATCAACCTCTTTCAACTTGAAATATTCAGACTAAAAATTGCATATAATCCTGATTTTTCTGTTCTTATCTTCACTATTTGACAACATAAACTTTAGATTTAGAAATGTAAGCTTGTCAAAATCCATTTCTATCATTAACACCACATGCCACTTCGTGTATGTGACTTAAACCGCCCACACGTTTGACCCACCGAACACAATTCACTGCCATGGGTTTCCTAAATCTCTTTCTTTTATTTTTCTTCTCCTATGCTAGAAGCCTCCACGTACACAAAAATTTGAAAAAGACAATAAAAAAAAAAAAAAAGAAAAGAGACAAGAAAGAGAACTCAATTATTGACATTCGCGGCAATTCGAGCTCACAGTCTTTTATCAATAATCGCATTAATTTAATGCTTTTTATTTAAGTGTAAATTTTGGTTTTTTTTTTATCAAGTTATTAACGGTAATGACAATACATCGAATCGAGATAAATTTTTATTCGTATCAAATTTTATCTAATTTTAAATATATAAAATTTGTATTTATATTTGATTCGATAATTTTTTTTATTTTTAATATTCGAACCGAACCGATCCGATTTCGATATTATATAAAATCAAATTTAATTCGATCCGACTCGAAATTAATAAAATATTATTTTAAATATAAATATAAAATTAAATATATATATAATTAAATATAAAATTAAAAAAAATAATTTTTTTATATATATCGGGTCGGGTAAGGTCGGGTTTGCCTAAAATCCGATCCCGATCAAAACCCGAAAATTTTTAATGCTACCTAACCCTACTCGATACCCGATTTAAAAAAAAATATTAATCCTAAAAGGTCGGGTCAGATCGAAACCCATCAGTTTCGAGTATTTTTGCTTTCTCTAGTTATTAATGTATTTTTAAATTTATTTTTTAATATTTAATATTATTTATTATTATTATTTTCATATAGTATTTTTTTAATATTTAAAAAATATATTTATTGACAAAATTGAATTACGTTAATCAAATATTTTTTAAAAAATGCATTCAAATAATAGGTTATTACCTAATTAAGTTTTGTGAAAGCATGTACTTTCTTTTCAAAATATTAAAACTATAACATGGGGATGATACAGAAAGAAACACTACATATTAGAAAAAAAAAAATTGGAAGTACAATACTCTAGTAAATAAGATTTAAATCAAAATACTTATTTGATAAAAAAATTCATTAAATTTTGAATTAGATTTCTTCATGGAATTATGACTTCATAATTGCATTACGATTGAAATCACTAATGGATTTACATTAGTGTTGGTAAAATTGATTTAAATTAAAAAAAATTTCAATGGATTTACTTAAGTTTGATAAACAAAAAAGTCAATAATCTAAACATGTTCACACCAAATTTGAAATGTTTGAATATGAATTAACTTGAATTCGAGCAATTTGAAGATTAATTTAAAATGATTGAATTGAATTGAGTTTGATTTTAAAATTAAATAATTTAAATTTTAAAAAAATAAAAATTTAAACTCGATAAGCCGAATCATAAAACAAATTTGGGTGTCTCGAATACAACAATTCAAAATGAATATAATTTTTATTTTATAAAAATATGTTGAACCCTACAAGATCTATCAAGTATAATCGAAAAATCAATTAATTTCAATTTTACAAGCAATTTAATTCATTACAAAAAAAGCTAATCAAGGAAGACTCTAGTTCTTAGAAAACCACTCAAAAAACACATTGATCTACATCATAATAACCAATAAAAAATTTTAATGTGCTACAACAATTCAAAATGGTCTAAACCCATGTATGATGCTATAGTCCTTAGAAGTTCTTGAGTGGAAGAAAACCCTAAGCCAAACAACCAAACATAAAAACAAGAAAAAAAAAGTCAAGTAAACGTGTCACTGAGCAGAACCAACCATTTTTTTCTTTTTTTAAAGATAACGAGACTTGATAATTAATTTGCATTTTATTTATTTTATATTAAATATGTATAAAAATAAAAATTATTATATGAAATTTATATTAATATATTAAAAATTTTTATTGTAATATATATTTTTTAAAATATTAAATGATAAGTTTTTATTTTTTATATTTTATATCGTATTTAAAAATAATTCTCTTTTCACTATTTTGTCAGAGTGGCCTAACTGTCACACGTGATCGACATTCGCCGCCGACCTCCTCACTTCAAAGCGTGAAAAACGCTGAACTTATGAAAAAAATAATAAAAAAAAAAGACTCCAAACCTATTTTTTTTTTATTACTCTTTAGTGGGATTTTTGAAAAGATTGGTATCACCTTTTGGTTGCGGTCTCGAAACAACGCATGAACGCTGGACACGTGTCCCAAAATTTGCTGACTCAGTTTTGTGATTTTTCGTGGCGGTTCATGCACCCTCTTGGTCGGATAAGGTCGGCCGCAAGATGTTCAAACGTGGCCTGCTTTTAACGGTGATAAACATAAAGTGGGTCCCAAATAGCAACTTAAGTCAAGACGACCGTACTTATTTCTGTCTTCATTATCTCCCCCTCCTGTTTAAATACCTTCTCACATCCCCACACTTCCGAAGAAAAAGAAAGAAAAAATAAAAAATCATTTTTACCATTCCATTTTCTTTCTAGCTAGAACTCAAATTTTCTGTTTGGCTGTCAAGAAAATTTTGATCATGGGAGTGCCAGAGACAGACCCATTGGCTCAATTGAGGTTGCCACCAGGAATTCGGTTTTTTCCAACTGATGTAGAGCTTCTGGTCCAATATTTATGCAGGAAAGTTGCAGGGCATCATTTTTCTCTACAACTCATTGGTGAAATTGATTTATACCAATTTGATCCTTGGGTTTTGCCAAGTAAGTTAATCAAATCCAACAAAAAGAGTCAACTTTTTTTTTACTGTTATGCTGATCAAAATGTTTAATTACTTATACAATTTTGATATAGGTAAAGCTATATTTGGTGAAAAAGAATGGTACTTTTTCAGTCCTAGAGAGAGGAAGTATCCCAACGGATCCCGACCGAACAGAGTTGCTGGTTCAGGGTATTGGAAAGCTACCGGAACTGACAAAGTTATTACAACCGAAGGTCGGAAAGTTGGTATCAAGAAAGCACTGGTTTTTTACGTCGGAAAAGCTCCCAAAGGCACAAAAACTAATTGGATTATGCACGAATATAGACTCATTGAAACTTCCCGTAAAAATGGCGGCTCCAAGGTAACATTTTAGTTATTACTAAGTTAACTTTAGCTTGTTTGGTGAATTCAATGAATTTGAGATTTTGAATATAATATACAAGAAGAATTATTGTTAATTGTTTTTTTTTTTTTTTTTCTGTTTGTTGCAGTTGGATGAGTGGGTTTTATGTCGAATATACGAGAAGAATTCAAGTGCTCAAAAATCATTGGCAAACGTTTCAAGCAAAGAGCATAGCAATAATGGCTCATCATCGTCTTCATCTTCCCAACTCGATGATATGCTTGAGTCATTGCCCGAGTTAAACGATCGTCGCTTTGCTTTGCCACGTATGAACTCGTTGAAAACGCTTCAACATGATGAGAAAATGGGGTTTCACAATCTGGGTAGTGGGAATTTAGATTGGGCGAGTCTTGCAGGGCTTAACTCGGCGTCTGACTTGGTACCGAGTGGACAAACTCAGACTCATAGTCAGGGGATTCCTAGTTATGGATATAATGACTTATATGTCCCAACAATGCAGCCGACACTATGCCAGATTGACACGTCAACAAATAGGGTTGGTAACTCGGTGGAAGAGGAGGTGCAGAGTGGACTCCGAGCTCTGAGACTTGATAACTCAGGGCTTTTCCAACAAAACTCGAATGTGTTGACTCATGATTTCTCTAACTCGATTGACCCCTATGGATTTCGATACCCGACTCAATCGGGTGGCTTTGGGTTTAGGCAATAAAATGAAGAAGAGAAATAGGCAGGGACATCAGAGGAATTTCAGAAGTTTGTGTAAAATGTTTAGAATTCTTTGGGCTAACCTTTTGGAATTAGATACCAAAAGAGAAAAAATTATTGGGGAGTTATTTTTTTATTTGAATCTTTTATGATATTGATTAATGAAATTAAGAATTTAACATTCTAATGATAATTCATAAATTCATAATTAATCAATTTTTAAAAAAATATAAAAATTTTGATTTTGAATCAATTTTTATTTTATTTTTTCACATATAATATTCATATTATGTAAAAAAAAAAAAGGTAAATTTGAAATTTTGCCCTATTTTTTGGGCAACTAACCAAATGGTTGGAGCACAATTCAAAGTCATTTGTACAATTTTATTTCTCTAAAATTTAATTTAAAATGTGATTTTCCTTAAATTCAAATGTAGTTTCTAATCCTTATCATGTCTATCTCCACCCAAAGAAATGGAAAAACCTTATCTTATGATATTCTTTTTTCATTTTTTTTTTCATGTTCCATGTACCAAATTGAAGATGAATTGATATTTTTTTAGTACAATGCCGACAAGGTTTAATCATAATATAATTTCGTATTATTCTTTAGTCATTAATTATTTAAATTACATAACATTCTTAAATTTATTTTTTACTAAAAAGCTTGCAAATCTTAAATAAAAAAATTGTTATTCAATTATTCGATATCACTTTTTAAATTTATAATTATATATATTAATTGAATTAAATTTAAATTTAATAATTTTTTATTAGGTCCATATTATGTATCCTTTGATAAAATGAATTAAGGTGATTTTATTATGAAAATATTCCTCCAAACATATTATGTTTAAGATATAATATGAACTATTTATTAAAATAAATATAACAAGCAACCTTAAAGCAACACAAGCACTAGGAAATGTGTGATAATAGTCTATATCTTGATTTGAAGTTGAATTTTCAAATTTTCTTTACCAACATTGTTAAGGAAAGTATGAAAGGTCAAAGGGGGCCGCCCACAAACTATGAGCATTATTGCAAGCAAAGATCAAAACACCATGGAAGAAAAAGAAGGCAAGGACAGCGAAATTAAGATTGAAGAGACAGGAGAAGAGGACTTTTCATTCTTATCCAACCCTTCAAACAAAAGAAAAAATCAACGGTTATTAAACTATCCAAGTGTCAAACAAGCATTGGTTAAAAAATGAAGTGATAAGTACTAGGGTTTGTTGCAGACAAATTTTTGGGATCAGTTCCAAGTTAACTCCCCATCAAATCCAAACAAACTCTCAGAAGTGTTTAAGATATACATTGACTGTTTGTTGTTTATCATATCACTTGTTTGGTCAAGATGGCTGCAACTTTGTCCCCTTTTCCAAAGTTTTGTGAATATGATTTAATAAATATATTTAATTTAATTTAATTTTAAAATATATTCATAAATATTTTTAATTTTTTTGAATAATACCTGCATATTCAGGCCTTTTTTTCCTTCATTAAAGTTGTTATTAAAGTTATTATTTTCCATTAATCGTAAATTAAAGTTGAAGCAATAGAAAATGGACTAAGGGAAATTTTAAGGGAAGAGGACATAAATAAAATTATGAATGTAAACAAGTAAAATAAATATATGAAATAAATTCCATTTTTATTTGTGTGCTTTGGTGGATCGATCTTTCTTTTTAAAAATGATTTATTGCTTTTCTCAATACCTAAGAAAAATTTAAAAAAAGAAAAAAGAAAAAAAGATGTAGTTCTCAAAGGGCAGCCCCCACTTAATTATTGAGTTCTCTTTTGTTAAGGCAAGTGCAACAAAGAGCACCACATATTAAGCAGCACTCTTCTTTACATAAATGCAAATGCAAATCAATCATAAATGCAAATGCAAATCAATCATCCATTTGAATTATTGTAATTTTTATATAAGAGAGGAAGGATCATCATTTGAGTTTACAATTTTTATTAAATACAAAAATAAAAAAATTATAGTATGAAAATAAAATATAAAATTACAAATATTAAAATTTAATTTTAAATTTATAAATTATTATTTATTTAAAATAATTTTATAAATCAATCGAATTAATTTTCGGATTCATCTCTTGCCATAGCAATAGCATGGTTGATATTGGAGGAAGGGGTTTCTTTTTGCCTTTACAAAAGGCAATCGCATTGACTATTTAACCACTTTCTTTACAATTAAATCACATATATTCTTTTTGGAAGGAGGGCCAAGGTGGGGATTAATTGAACTTTTGCACATGCTAAAAGGCTAGCTTTTCAACAGAAAGAGGGCTGGGTTTACACTAGAATATTTGTTGCTTTCTCCCTCACTCTATTTGTTTCCCTTATCCAATAAAAGAAGAAATTATTGGCATAGGCTTTTCAAGAGACCTGCTCACGAGCCAAGAGGCTCAACCAAGCTACCAACCTAATTGGGTTTTGAACAAGATTTTTTATAAGTTTAAATTTTAAGATAATATTTAATTAATAAAAATTATTTTATGTAATTTTAATTTTAAAATATATTTAAAAATATTAAAATATATTCATAAAATTATTTTTAATACTTTAAAATAACATCAACATATTCAACTTGATTTAAAAATCTCAAATAAAAATTTTAAAAAATTTATATCACCCCAATCTTATTCAATTTATGAATATTTTTATTTTTAAATAGTTTTAAATATTTAATAAAATGAATAAATTATTTTAGACGTGATCATTTATTTATATTCATGTGAACATCAATTGAGAAATGAATTTATACAATGAAAAAGGCATGTAAAATAAGGAAGAAAAAGACAAATTCCATGGCATTATGCATGTTATAACTCATTAAAGATTCCATCTAACAGGACCACTTTTTTTTTCTCCCATTGTTATTCATGAGAATGAAGATATCTTTATTCTTTGTTGAGAATAGTTAAAACCCTCTAAGAACAAATTATCAACTTTTAAGGCAGATATAGTTATTAAAATCAGTCTTCGCTTTGATTCGATGATTATTAAAAATTTTTAAAATTTTTTTATAAAAAAATCATAATTTAAAAATAGAGTAATTAGCCGAAAGTAGATTTATTGAAAATTATTTTTTAAATATGATCGAATGCATTAATTAAATTAAATCTTAAATTCAAAATTTTTGGATTTTTAATTTCATATTTTTTTTGAAATTTATAGTTTGTCTTAATCTCTTCATATTGGAATTAGAATTTTCGTTGGGTTTTGACCAAAGAGAAAAGAGATGAGTCTTATCTTAATTACTCTTCACGCAAGCACTTCCGTCACCAAAAAAATCTTGAGCCAACACTGAAAGCGAATCAAAGAGAATGCCTTTTAATTCTCAAGCTTTCCAGCTGCATTTTGTGCTAAAGATTTGTTGACTTCAAACTTTCTTTGTGTGTTTTGTGGGTTGATTTTTATTAGTGCGGCTAACCTCATTTTCATGCAAAAGTTGCGTCACTGTCCATTCTCACATGGACTAAAATTGGCTTCTTCTAGTCTAAGGGTTTTTTAGTTTTTTTCTTGAATATTATTGCTCATGGATAGATACATGCATGTAAATTCATATAGTATATTTGTGTATATGCATATACATACGTATACATATACGTGTATATATAAATATATATTTATAAAAATAGTTTTATGATTAAATTTATAAAAAGATAAATTTTAAACTTGGAATCTCAAATTAAAACCAATATTAAAAACCATTTATCATGTAATACTTCTAAATTTATTATCAACTAATGTGCTGAAAAGCATTTGAAAATACGAATTTATTGGATATATATATTTATAGATTGAGGATATTGTTTTTTTTTTTTCTCCCAATATATCATTTTTTTAAATGATTGAACATCTATGTAGATTTAATTATAAATTCATTTTTATACGTTATCAGTATTATTTTTTAATTTCACAAATGAAATTAAAAAAGTAACAATTTTTATTTTTTTTAAAGGATGTATATAATCTTACTAATTTCACTTGTGGAATCTAAAAACTTTATTGAAAATTGATGAAATAATTTTTGTTTTGCATTCTTTTTTTTTTTTATCACTGTCAGTGTAAATTCTCTTTTTTCTTTAATTATTTTGTAACATCATTTATAGAAGATTATAATAAAACTTGGGGGAATTTTGAGATAATTTGCATGTGGTCCTCAAAATTTTGGATGTCCATAGGAGAGATATGGGCTTGGGCTATGGATCTAGTAGCTCATACATCTTCAAGGGCTCAGCCATCACTTATGGGCCCAGCCATCACTTGACATTTGTCTTTGTGATGGCTGTCTCTAGTTGCTTCAATGTGAGCTTTAAATTTTTTGAAGCTTTAAATTATCTTTGCCAAATTGCCTGGTCCATGACAAAGACTAAAAAATTTGTCGTGATTACCAAAAATGGCAAGTGATTGTATTTGCAACTTCATTGCCAAAGTCCAGCTTGAATCCAAGCACAAGAGAAAGCAACACCTAAGGCTGCCTTGTTTGTCTTTGTTGAGCTCTAGTTGTTAAGTCACACCCTATGTTTTGTTCATCTGTAGCTTTCCAATATAAAAATGAAAGGATGATGATCATACCATGACTGTTGATCGGCTCCTAATTTGCCACCTTAGACCCTCCACAAAGGCTGAATTGGGTTTGAAAATTGTTGCAAAAGAGATCGATATGAACAGATTAATTAGGTTATTTGAATCAGAACAAGGTATGTCTTTTCCTGAGATTAATGTAGTATATTATGTTTGAAATTCACACTAAGTTCTATGGGTATGATTAATTGGACCAGAAGAATTTTAATTCCATTTTTGCTATAAAAATGTAAAGATAACAATCTAGCAATGCAGGGTAGACCATTCCTTGTTGAAGTTCAACTACATAATGAAATTGGCAGCCATAAACATAATTCAGACAAGGAAAGAAAGCAGGAAACTGTTATATATTTTCCTTTGCTTATAAACACACCTAATTTCTTTGCAAATTTAGTGCATTTTGCATGCCCTGATTTGAAATTACAATAAGAAACTAAAAGAATTAGGCAATTCACCGAGAAAGTTTGTCCTTCAACTTTCTTTTTGCACATACAAATTGATCATTAGCACACATATTCCAAGTCCCTAGCA